TTAGTCCTGGCAAAAAAGGAAATGAGGCAATCTGGCATATTCTTTTCTTGACAAAACTATGTTGCCTCTTTGTGATTATGGCTTCCTTTTCTCAATGGCAACTAAACATGCCTTTCATAGTACATTCTGTAATTTTTCCAGGCATCCAAGTTAAGTGCACTAGCCTATAATTTACAGACTCCATTATCTTCTCCCTTTTGAATCTTGGAATCCAATCTAACAGTAATTCTCCTGTTTCTCCATGATTTTTTTAAAAATGAAAATAAGTTTTTACTGATGCTTTTTTAAATGTCACAATCATTTTCAGATATATCTCTCCCAGCCCTTACTCTCTGTAAGCCCCTCCTTGTAGCCAAAAAATACAGCTCAGTTTAAAAAACAACCCATAATGATTGCATCTTAAAGTGTATTCACCATTCTTCACTCGTAGTCTCCTAATACATCAACATAAGGGAAGTGCATTTCCTCTTCTCAGGGGCCAGAACTGTTGCTTATAATAACAAAGTGTGTGTCATTGTATAATGTTCTTCCCATTTTGTGTCTTCTAGTTGTTTTGTAAATCCCATCATTTCATCTTCCCTCACTCATCCCAAACTGGTTTTTCATTTTTCCCATGACTTCCAGGCCCTGCCTCACTCCCCAGTTCTCTCCCAGGTTGTCACCCTTGCTCTGGCACTTGTTTTCCTTTCTTCCTAAGCTTCACTCTATTACTAACCAGTTTAACGTTACACTTTTCTCTACTCTTACCCTCTGCCTTCTTGTCCCATAAGGATTCATGACTTACCAAGCCCCAAACCAGAATTATTACCATCATCTGCCTCCTCTGCTCCAACTCACAGTGCTGCTGAACAGCATGGGAGGCAATCACACCTTGGTACGGACTGGTTCACTGCGGACATTTGTGACCTAATCCCAAGTGTACTTAGTACCAGAAGGCAATCCCTTCACTCTTCTCTGGTCGACTTCGTGTTGGAATTTCTGCGTAGGCAATTGCCAACTTTCTCTCCTCTCTTGTAGTCAGAAGAACTGAGTTTCAAACCTGCCTCCATTTGCTACCTTTGTGATATTGTGTAAGTCATGTAACCTGTCTAGGCCTCAATTTCCTCAGCTATAAAAATGATGGAGTTAGACCAGATGACCTTTAAGGTCACTTCAAATCTCTTTCTATAATCCTATGATCCTTCCCTGAACCTCTTGGTCGGAAATGTCATTACTGAGAAAAAAGAGACCGTTTGTTGTGGGTTCCCTCCTCTCTGTTACTTGTCATCTCAAAAAATCCTTAACATCACCTTCCCCCATCTCATGCTCTATTCCTTTATTTCAGTCTCTGAAGAAGTGGCCTTTCTTCTCACCAAGGCTAAACTCTCCACAATAGTTCATTATTCTCTCTCTCTCTCTCTCTCTCTCTCTCTCTCTCTCTCTCTCTACCGCCACACCCAGGGGGAAATACCCTACAGATTATCTCTACTCTGCCCTTGCTTCCTCTTAACTCACTTTCTTCTCAATCCCTTGCCATCTGGCTTCTGAAATTATCACTCAATTTAAATCACTTTCTCCAAAGTTTCCAATGATTTATTAATTGTCGAATCCTAGGTCCTTTCCCCAGTCTTCATTTAACATAAATTATTTGATTTGTTCTTTGCACTATTTGTACTGCCTCACCTTTTTGGCTTTTGCTTTCAATCTAGTTAGAGGAATCTAGAGTTTATGATATACTTTGTTTTCTGAATTCTGTTCCACATTTTTTGTTGCCATTATTTGGGCAATATGGCATTCAAGTTTTCTGTTGCGTACAACAGGTAGATATTGATTCAGTCTTCCCAATATCTTCCCACAGGTCTTCAGCAGCTTTCTCAAGCCTCTCCTGCCATGGTGGTATTTGGTATCTGTCCTTAGGAGTATTGCTTGATAGCTTCACCTTTCTTCTTATTGTTCTTACTATGGCGACAGCTGCTCCATTGTGTGCAGGTTATGAAATGTTTTTATACTTTTGTCAAATATTGTGGGAGAATGAGTTCATTCATTATAGTTATAGCAAATACCAGCTTTTTAAATTACTCTGTTCTGGTAGAGTTGTCTATTAGCTGGATTCTATAAAACTCAAAAGAGACTCTGAGAAATTTCAGCCTTAGTATGCTCATCTCCTCTTGAAAATCAGTTGAGTCATGGGTATTATTTTTGCCATCCTTTCCATTATTAGAATTTCTAAAGTTTGTGTTAAGAGAAGTTTTCAATGACATTAAGTTCCTCAACTTTTCCCTCTTCAGATTTTAATAACTGTTCAATTTCAGTTCTTATTTAACCTAATCTGGGTTTAGGGCTGAAGTTAATTCTTAGGATTGCCCTACATTGGTCGACAGTCTAACTTGGAACTGAGGGTACCATTTACAAAAAACAGTACAAAGCCCTTGCCAATATCTGGCAAGATCCAGTTCCAGGTTTGTTATGATAGAGGACTGATACAAAATAAAAGGGTTCAAAACTCCAGCGTGTTCACTTGTGGTGTCCAGCAGGTGGAGTACTGCTATCTCTGGTGTGTTATCTTTCCTTGTGGTAGGAGAACCAGAAGGAGCACACTCCACTGTTCTCTGTGTAGAGCAGATTCACGGTGGTTCTGATGAGGGCTAGTCTGCAACCCTAAGCTGCCCAAACTGTTTCTGTGACTTTTGAGAGCAGTTGCATCACATTGCCTGAAGTGCTATCCCAGTCAGTGATTTTGCCCAGAGTTCAGTTCACCTGTGTTTCAGGATTCTGGGAGGTCTTTCACAATGACTATAGCAGTCTTTGGGCCCACAAAGTCCCTGCTGTGCATCACCCTGGCTGTCATTCTTCTGCTTTGTCATCTCCTTCCACCCTTACCCCTCCACCATGGGGGATGGGTTAGACTTTGAGGGTTGATGGGTTATTTTATTTTATTTCATTTTATTTAGGCAATTGGGGTTAAGTGACTTGCCCAGGGTCACACAGCTAGTAAGTGTTAAGTGTTTGGTCTGAGGTCAGATTTGAACTCAGGTCCTCCTGACTTCAGGGCCAGTGCTGTATCCACTATGCCACCTAGCTGCCCCAGGAGGTTATTTTAGTTCATCTAGACCCAGGTAATTATGACTGAAGTCAGTTAAGTAATATCTTAACTATCCCTTTACTAATCTCCTAATCTGTCTCCCTTCCTCTGGTCTCTCCCTTTTTCCAGCCCATCCCTCAAAATCTGCTTAAGTGACTTTCTTAAGTATACATCTGAACCTGTCACTCAACTACCCAATAAACCACATGTTGTCACTCAGCTACTCAGTAAACTACCGTGGTCCCCAGTGACCCTTGGGATCAAGTACAACTCCTCTGCTTGGCACTTAGAGCCCTCCGGAGGCTGCTATGAACCTGCCTTTCAGGCCTTCTCATACAGCACTCCCCTTCATACTATTGTCCATCCAGATTTCCCTTTTGCTATTCTTTACACACAACACTACCTTCTAGCTCCCCAGTGAACTGTTCCAATGTTTTCGACTTACTCTAACTCACCCCCTCCTATTTTGAAACCTTACTTTCCTTTAAAAGTCACCTCATGGTTACTTTCTACATACCTTTCTTGTTCATCCAGACTGGGTCTGCCTTTCCTTCTCAATTACTGTGTATTCATTTTTTATTTATTTTGGATGTACGTGGACATGTCTCCCCCAATAGATTGTAAGCTGTTTGAGGGAAGGGACTGTTCTATTTTGTCTTTGTATCCCCAGAGCTTAGTACATGATAGATGCTTAAGAAATGATTCCTATTTGATTATAAACTTTCTTGTACCCACTTTTGTTTTTTTCTCATTCAAAAGATCATTATCCTTAGTAGAAGAAAAAACAGAAGAAAAATAGGAGTTAAGTAGGTTTGCCCTCTTTCCTCCTTCAGTTATTGTTATTCCAGGAATGCTGGAACATGCATCACTTTTTCTCATTTACTTCTTTGTGTCAATCTTCCATTCTCCTCATTCTGACAATAGCTCAGCAATTGCATCTACCTATTTGCATTTTTGTCCTGTCCTTTCCAATCCAAAGATTACCAAGTGAAATAGCTGATAATTCTCCTTTCTCTCTGTATTCAGTTATCATTGTAGCACCTGCCCTAGAGAGCCGCTTTAACCCTACTCTGCTCCGAGGCATTTTCTTAGGAGAGCTCTGACTGAGGTAGAGGGTTTCATTATATATTCCTTTTTTTGTTTTTCATATGTGTAAATTATCATGTGTGGTAATATTTGTCAAGCTCATAAAAAATCAATGCATAATACTAATAGGCACAATCATCAGTTAATACACATCATCCAATGAGGCAACTTATTTTGGGGAATGTTTGCAGAAACTGGGACAATTTTTTGGAATATTTGTAACAGTGATTTATTTTGAATTCCTTATAATAGCAAATGTCAACCCTTCCAAAGTTTCTTTGATTCTGTGATTTTGAAGCAACACAGTTGGCTTCAGTGTATTTACTTCATGTAAGAGAGCAATAATCTAAGAGAAAAAACATATTCACTTGGAGTATTTACAGCCAGTATTGCCACCCTTGACAACACTTTTAGATCTGGCCAACTGGGGCAAAGATGTGGTTAGAAGGAGGTTCTTGGGGGGCGCACATGCAATGCAGGCTGTGGTCTCAGGCTGTTTTGTCTCTTCTCTGATGCTTTACATGTATCAGCACTCTGGATACTGTTTCAATACCATCACAAAGAAGCTAATGACTATCACACAACTCGACTTAACTCTGTTTATTCACAGCATATTTTTCTTCAAATATACACTCTGAAAGCCAAGTGGATCCCAAGTGTTCTGGGATGCTGTCTGCATCGCCTATACTTGATGCTTAGGTCTGCACCATAACGACTTAATGTGACTGATGCTGGGCAATACTACCAAGATTTTGTATCTGAATAGCAACTTGGGTAATTTGTTAATGAATAATTTTTTCTATTGACAAATATTTCAACAAGGATCCCTGCTGTGCCTTTTGTTTGGTTACAGTCAGGTGATGAAGATTATGACAACAAGCCTCCGGGCCCTTCTGCTCCTCCTTCACTACCACTCCTAGCTTTTGCTCCAGGAATACTGGAATCCTCTGTGTTACAAAATGAGAGTAAGTACTGTGAGATTCCATCATGTAGGTGACTCTAAGAAATGAAGCTCAAAGAAATGACCTGTTAATTATTAGTTTATAATGTTGCTGCATTACAAATAGATGCTAAAACCTGATTTTCCTTATTTAGTTAAAATCTGATATTTTCCACCCCAAGATATTTATTTAAGTAAGTCACTTTAAAAATGTAAGCATGGCCACTTGCCATTGAGACCTAGCGTCTAATATGTGACTGCATCTGTAGTTGCATGTATACATTTTAAAGAAGAGAATTAGATTGTACTTTCAGTATATGTGCTTTATAAATACTACGAATGCAAATGTACTTCATTTGGATGGTTCCCACCTTCCTTTTATGTATTATTTTCTGTGTATCATGTTCAGAACCTGAGATGAAACATTTGCCATGGAGGTAAAGAAATACTTGACAGTCACAAAGAAAATAACTGTCAGATTTTGGTTTGTTTTTCTAATTGTGGAAGACTTTGCCCTCCTTTAGCTTCCAGATATTTATGAATGTGGTTTATACTTCCTTAGGATTCAAGATTATGCAACAAATGAAGCAAGTAAAGGAAGAAAGAGGTCATTTGGAAGAGACGAAAGAAGAACTGTTGAAAAAAGTTAAAACTTTATTTGAACAAAGCAAACTGAAAAGATACCATGGTAGAGCTTATCAGATGTCTTATAGCTATATAAACAAAATATTTAAAGCTCGCACTGTTAAAATAAATATAATTATAATTAGCATTTCATTGTTTTTAGTATTATAGCATCTGGTACAAGATTAAAACAATTGTACCTAGTGAAGTTTAGAACTACCCCTCTGCCCCCATCACCCTGTTCTACAGGGGTCTAATATAAAATATGATATTCATATTTTGTAATATCATTCTATCAGTGACCTTCCAACAGATAACACAGTCAAAATAAAATAATGTCACATCATAATGGTGTATGAATCCAGATTCAAACCGGAGTCTAGTGATAAATATTCAGATGTAATCCTTCATCCTATTTTTAAAAGTATGAAAAACCTGTTATATGAGGATATTGTAGCTATCCTCAGGGAGTGACATGCAAAAATCTAATGCCCTCAAAATGTAATTTTCCTCAAGAAAATGTACTGCTTTAGGAGCCTTTGGTCTTGTGTTTTCTATTAGATGAAGTAAGACAGCAAAGTCGTTTGTGTGACGTTGGGCAAGCATGTCTCTAATCTTATATCCCAGGCATCTGTGCTTGGTCTCTGCCATTTGACATTTTTATTAGTGATTTAGACACAGATATATAGATAGCATTCCTGTCAAAGGTGGAGATGACACCCATCAGTGAGCACACTAACACCCTGGAAGATAGAATCAGAATCCAAACACAACTTGACAGACTAGATAATTGGACAGAATCTCAGAATGTGAAATGTAATAGGGATAAATATAAAATCTCACACGGGTTCAAAAAATTAACTTTACAGGTAGAAGGTGGGGTAAATATGGTCAGATAATTTGTTGTTAAAAAAGAGGTCTGGGTATTTTACTGAGCTGCAAGATCAATATGATCAACAGTGGGGTTTGAAGCCCTACAAAATAATCCAGTGTTTGATTAAATTGAGAGGTGTAGCTTTCAAGAATAAGGATTTTGTCCCTGTGCTCTGTCCTAGTCAGACCACCCCTGAACTTTGTTGAGTTCTGGACACCATGGTATAGAAAGGATGTTGATAAGTTGGAGAATATTCAGAAGATGACCCCAAATTCATCCCACATAATGATTGGATGAAAGTAGTGGGAGATGACTAAGAAGAGATATGGCAGCTGTCAAGTATTTGAAGGGCTGTCCTGTGGAAGAGGGATTAGACATGTACGACATGATCCCCTGGCGTGGGTGTAGGACCAATGGATAGAATGTCAAAGAGGTCGATTTAGGTTAGAGTGCCTAATCACTAGAACAATCCCAAAGTGAACTTGGCTGCCTTGGGAGGTGGAAGATTTTCCTAACCCCCACCATAACTGGAGTCTTCAAGGAAATGTGAGGTGACTCCCTATCGTGAATTTTTAGTGGGGACTCTTTTTCAGGTATGGATTGGATGAATTGGCTGCTGAGATCCTTTCCAGATCTGAAATTCTTCAAAAATTCCTCTTTGAAATAAAAGCTACCTAGTGTGTGTGTATGTATATAGCTGTAGCTATAGCTATATATGCACACATATATATGTATGGTACATACATATATGTAGCTAACATTGATGTAGCACTTACTATATTATATGTCAGACACTATGCTAAGTACTTTGCAACTATTATGTCACTTGATCCTGGGAGGTGGATGCTATTATTTTCTACCTTTTATAGTTGAGGGAACTGAGGCAAACAGAGGTTAAGTGACTTCCCCAGGGTCACACAGCTAATAAATGTCTGAGGTTGAATTTGAACTCAGATCTTCCTGATTCCAAGCCCAGTGTTCTATCCACTGTGCCACTGCATGTGACTGGACATGAGTCTAGACTAGAGTTTAGATGCCAGTAGAACGTAAGCTTCCTGAGAGTACGGATTGTAAATGTTGTCTTTATAGCCCCAGTGTCTATCACAGTACCCTTGCACATAGTATCCATTAAAAAACAAACAAGCAAACAAACCAAACATTTATTAAATTGTATTCATAGCCTCGCTTTGCCACTTTTGTCAGTTTTACAACACTGGGCAAATCATTTTACCTTACGGGTCTTATTTGCCTCACCTATGATGAGTATAATAGATAATCTCAAAGGTCCTTTCTGATTCTAGAATTCTATAAATCTGCTTCATTCTGCTACGTTAAGAAGGAAAGGCTATTCAATAAATATCAGCCTTAAACTGAGGTTTCCACTCAGGTTAAGAAGGTGAATATGTTTCTTAGGATTTATATTTTCACATAGAAATTTAACAGTTTTGTTTAAGTCACTGAAGATCTAGTGGAAAAAACACAGAACTCCTTGTTGATTTTTATTATGAACTTAATCATCTATAAACAGAAACATTCAAAAACACAAATAAGAGGTGGTGAGGGAAGGATGTGCATGAAGCTATAAACATCTGCTCTCTACAGTTTATTTTTAAAAGTGTATATTAAATTAACAAGGTAGTAAAATATTGCCTTGTTTGTTTCTTATAAATTTTTTGCTTTATTAATTCTCTTAAATTCTTTTTCTCATAGCTTCCCTCTGCTTCAACATCCTCTATCCCAATATAGTCCACCCTTATAACAAATACAGTATAGTCAAACAAACATATCACATTGCCCATGTCTGAAAATATAGGACTTATTTTGCACCTTTAATATATTCCTCTAGTTTTTGCTGGCATGTGGGACACATACTTTATCCTAAGTTTTCTAAAGCCATCATTGATCACTGCATTGATTGGAGCTCTGAAGTCTTTCAAGTTGTTTTTCTAGTACATTATTGTCATCATTATGTGAATTGTTCTCCTGGTGCTGCTAACTTAAATCTACATCAGTTCATGCAAACTTTTCTAAAGTTCTCTGGATTTTTCACATTTGTCATTTCTTACAGCACAGTAACGTTGAATCACTTTCACTCATCATTATTTGTTTGGGCCATCATCCAATGGATGGGCATCCATTTTGTTTCTAATGCTTTGCTACCACAAAAAAGTGCTACTTTAAATGTTTTTGTATATATGGACCCTCTGCCTTTGTCTTTGACCTCTTTGGAATACAGGCCTTTCAGGGGTATTGCTGGTTTAAAGGTTATGATATAGTTAGTGAGTTTTCAGCTAGAATTCCAAATTGTTTTCCTAAACAGTTTGATCAACATACAGTTCAATCCACAGTGAATTAGTATGCCTGTCATCCCAAAGCCCCTCCAAAATTAGACATTTTCATCTTTTGTCATTTTTGCCCATCTAATGGGAGTGAGGAGAAATCTGAGAGTTCTCATTGCTCTTATTCATAATTTGGAGCCATTTTTTTTGGTGGCAAGCTTGCATTTCTTCTTTTGTAAACTGTCTGTTGATATCCTTTGACCACTCTTTTTGGGGGTAGTGGTTTTGATTTTTGTATGTATTTGTATCAAGGACACACATATATAGTATCAGAACTTTATCAGAGATAACTACCATTTGATTTTTCCCAATTAACTGACCTTTTTCTAATTCTAGTTGTATTATGTTCCCATAAGACTCTTCAATTTTATGCAGTCAAAATTGTCCATTTTCTTTGTTTACCACTATCCCATGTTTAGTTAAGAATGCTTCCCTTAATCATAGTTTTGAAATTTACCTTCCTTCTTTCTCCTATCTCTCTGTACATAAATATATGTATGTATATACATAAATATGTACATATATGTATATACATACATATATACATATGTGTATATATATAATATATATGTTTTATATATATTTTATGATATGACCTTTTATATATGTGAAGTATCCATTTGGAGATTATTGTGGTAGATAGTATAAGATTTTAGTGTAAACCTATTTTCCAGTAGACCACTTCATGTAATTCAGCTCACAGAACATTTAAGATCTGGTTCTAAATTCCCAAATAGTTATGTGACTTTAAACAAGTTATGTTTTATAACATTTTTCTTTCTGTAAAATTTGGGTAATATAGCTCCCTCTTACAAACTCACAAAGGGTCTTAAAAAGATGAAATTATATTTTCAAAATGGCGGGGGTAGGTGGGTAGGGTCTGGGACTGTTATTTCTTTGGGACTCCTGATGTGCAAACTACCTCCACTGGTGCAGACTGCCAACTCTTATAGTCTTTAAAAGTTGCCTGGGTCCCTGAAAGAGGTTATAAGTAAATTGCCCATGATCACAGAGGAAGGATGTGAACTCATGCTTTGCTGATTCCAAGGTCAACTCTCTATTCACTATACTACCCTACCTCTCAAAAATTTAAGAAAAAAAAGTTTCTGTCAAGGACTTACTTTCAGTGGATTGCAGCAAGATAGCTGCTCCTACATATCTAGAAGCTTGTCCTGTGTGAATGATTTAGCACCAAGTCTCCCAGGAACACAAATCACGTACGTAAAATCAGCAACAGTATTTGCCTAAGTTCTTATTATATATCAAAATGGCAATTCCTTAACAAATAGTCATTCAAGTATAATACCACATAAAGCGCTATTACTAGGATCCAAATGACTAAATCTTGGTCAGAAAGAAAATGGAAGATAAGGAAAAAAAGAATACAACAGTCCATTGGAAATATGAATATCCATCCACTTCAACAATGTTTCAACCATGATAAAGTGGGCTTCCCCCCAATACTCATCATATTGGTTTTAACTTTTAACAAGTCTCTTAGATAAACTGTAAACTCAATCAGTTAATTTCACAAAAATAGGCCATTAATGAGGCTGAAGATCTAGCTCCCAAAAAGATAATTCATTGACTAATAGAGACACAGCCAGTCAGCCACGATGAACTCTAATGAAAAACCATCTGAAATGGGATAGCACATCTTTTACTTTCATGGGATAAGATAAATAGATAATGACCTCAAACTAGCTTATGAAAAAGAATCAATATAAAAGAATTTTTAATATAATTATCATTTTTAGTATTTGCTATTAGTGATTTCCAGAAAGGACTGTATAACATAGGTAAATACACATAGGATTCAGTCAGAAGTCTTGGACTCTGGTCCTAACTTTGCTACTGTGTGACCATGGCCAAATCACTTAAACTTTATGTCCCTCAGTTTCCTCATCTGTAACATGAAGTGGATCAATTGTTCTAATTATCAGTAAGCTCCTTAATTGAACTGTTAAGCTCTAAAAGTATGTGATTCTATGATTAGTTGAATACCAACTTTGCTTTTATTCGTAGCCCAGGAAGCTTGGAAGAAAAAGTATTTTGAAACCAAGAAAATCACAGCTTCATTGGAGGAAGTTTTAACTAAACTTCAAGAAGATTTAGAACTTTATTATAAAAAATTGCTCATGCAGCTAGAAGCTAGGGAGATCAAGATGCGGCCAAAGAATTTGGCGAACGTGGAAGACTCGAAGGTATAATAAGTTATGCCCCTTTGGTAATTTTTCTATTTTAGATGTATTTTTTAAGAGTATGTGCAATGGAACTGCTAATATTCCTGTTTGGGGACACATCTGTAATATGATAATACCACATTTTAAATTGATTTTTGAGTGTTACTTTTAACTTAGCTCAATCCATAATTTCATTAAATGGAATTTTTGACTCTTAGTAGATTGGAGGTTATGGTATGAGATCTTTGTCCTCTTTCGTAATGATTATTGACAACAGCAAGAGTAAACGTTTTTAGCAAGACTCTACTTGTGGACATGTGTTTCCTTTACACATATTCCAAGGATTTAATGAATTTTTAATAAATATTTGTTGAATTGAAATGAATTCCTTCTCCGTAAGTCAAGAATAGATCTTAGTTTGTGTCCCTCATTAGTGATTTCTTACTTTATTCCACCGGGCCATTGTCAGTCAAAAGAATTGGTTAAGTCCCACCTGTGTGCCAGATATGAAGGACTTTGCACATCTTCAACTGCTCTACAATGTGAGCTATCCATTTATATTCATTTATTCCACTGACCATAACCTTGCTTCATGAGAAACAGACTTGCTATGCTTGACCCAAGAGGGGAGAACTAGGAGCAATGGATGAAAGGTACAAAGAGAAAATTTTAGGATTGATGTCAAGAAATATTTCCCAATGCTTTGACCTGTCCCAGAGTGGAATGGGCAGTTGGGGAAGAGAGTAGGAATGAATTGGGGATCTTTTACTTGTGACAATATAATTTGTCTTGTCAGATTATAGCCAACACCAAATATAAAGTTTGGTTCCAGAGTTGTCATACCAGAAACTCTATTATATCTTAATGCTATCTCGGGAACCACGTTAGGCCTGTGGATCCTTAAAAAAAAAATCCTACCACCTCCTTTGTGAATTTATGTCTTTAGTCTTTCCCAGTGCTTCTCTATATCCATTGCAAGATTTGCCATTCAGAGCCATTACTAAGGCTTCACAGACTCTCAACAGAGTCACAGAGCGTCAGACCTGAAAGGGACTTCAGTTGCTATCTATTCCAGCTTTCACCTGAACAAAGACATCTTCTGCTACATATCTAAAAACTGATCATTAAGCTTTACTTAAAGATCAAGAGAAGGGCACCTATTATCTTCCCAAAGTGCCCATTCCACTCTGAGATAGGGACACAAACCAAGATCTATCCTTGACTTATAAGCAAGGAATTAATTTTAATTCAACATACACTGATTTTGCACCTACTATATGCAGAAAACTATGATCAATACTGGGGGTAAGATACAGAACCAGTGTATGTCCTTGTGGAGTTTACAATCTAGCATAACTTTAATACATGTATTAATAACAATAATTAATAACAATAATACATGATATATTTATTAAAAAGGCATAAAGAAGTAGTACTGAGATGTAAAGAGAAAGATTGTTATGTAACAGGGAGGATCAGGGAAGAATTCATGGGGGAGGTGGCATTTGAGTTGGGTTTTAAAATATATGTATAAATTAAACAGGCTAAAAAAGAGGAACAGGACATTTCAGGCACAGGGAAAGTCCAGGGAATGGTTGGCAGACAGAAAAATCAGCATGGTTTGGCTGTAGTGTATAGTATTAGGAAAAGGAGTGTCATGAGGTAAGATGGAAAAGACTGGGGAATGTTAGATCATGCAGGGCCTTGAATGCCAGATAAAGGAATCTGAATTTTACTTAGTAGGTATTAAAGAACCAGTGAATTATTTTCAGTACAAAAGTAACATGATTAGAACTATGCACAAGGGTGAATAGTCTAGTACAGGACAGAAGACAGAGGAGGAAAGGGTAGAAATGGAAACTTTATCAGTAGTAGTTATTATCAGAATACTCCAGATATTTGTTAATGAGGACCTGGACTAGAGAACTGGCAGTGGGAAGAGAGAAGAGAAGATAGATATGAGATAATTTGGAGATAAAGTCCATCAGATTTGACAATTGGAGAAGTGAGAGTGAGCAGAGTCAAAGACAACACCAAAGTTTTCAATACTGGATATCAGGTGATGCAAAAGTATCTTGAAGAATGGTGGAAGGAGATGAAGCCAGTCAGTCAATAAGCATTTATTAAGTACTGGCTCTGTGCCAAGCACTGGAAATACAAAGAAAGGCAGGAGACATTCCCTGCTCTCAGAGCACTCACAGTCTAATGGAGGAGATAACATGAAAACAACTAGATACAAACAAGGTAGATACAAGATAACTTTGGAGATAATCAACAGAGGGAAGAAACTAATTTTAAGGGGGATCAGAAAAGGTTTGCTGTAGAAAATGGGATTTTAGTTGAGACTTAGAGGAAGCCAGGAGGCAGAGATGAAAGGAAATGATTCCAGCCAATATGAATTCCAGGCAAGTGAAAATGCCTGGAGTTCATATTTGATGGCCTCAGTCTTCTTAGTGATGAAAATTGGGAAAATCAAATTGATTCTATTTTGTTATTGATTTTATTCTATATCACTGATGACATTTTTATAACTGCCTAAGTCATATTTCATTTGTCTCAGAGTTAAGTTTGGAAATTCAGCTTTCCTATAAATCACTCATTGTCTCTGAGTTAAATTTAGAAATTCAGTTCTCCTGCTAATCATTGTTCTATTCTTGCCTCAAGGAAATCTGTTATCCTTGAAGGATGCAGGTGGATGCCACGGAGTCTGGTCTGTTATCCAAGGTAGTCTGGCCCGTTATCACTAAACTGTCCTCCCAGGTGGACTCAAAGAATGGACATTTCTTAGTGATAGGAGTTGTTATTAGCCCCTCATCTCCTATTTCCAGTCAATCATATTGTTCATCATGTCTATGATGCTATAAGCTTTGAACCGATCATACTGTTTTCCCCATCTATGATGCTGCCTTCTACTCTGGATACTTCTCCTTTCTGTCTATAAAAGAGAGCCGTCCTCCTTATTCAAGGTCTTAGCTTTTCTGAGGGGCCTGAGATCCTGTTTATTGGCAAATTTATGCTTTGTCAATAAATTGATGATCATGCTCAGAACATTGTGTCTACCTCAATTTGGAGCCTAATAGTGAAGGAGGTTAAATTATCGTAAGCATGTGGGTGGGGCATAATTAGAACTTGAAAAAATCTCAAGATTAAGGAAGGTGGTCATAAGAGAATACCTGGCTGCCCTTGATGAATTCAAGTCACCTGGCCCAGATGAACTCTATCACAGGATATCAAAAGAACTGCTGAATCTTATCAATAATATCCAAAAGATCATAGATAATTGGAGAGGTACCACACAAGTGGAAAATGCAAATTTGTCTTATCTTTTAAAAGGTGGCAGAGAATAGAGTTTGCAAACTAAAGGCCAATAAGCTTGACTTGGATTCCTGGAAAAATTTTATAAGTGCTTAGTCAAGAGATGATTAGTTAACAACTAGAAAAAAGAATCAGACACCAAAAGGCAAGCATGGCATCATCAAGAACAGATTATGATTGACTAACCTCATTTCCTTTTCTAACGGGGCCACTAAACTGGCAGATCAGGAGAATGTAAAGATAGAGTTTATCTTGAGTTTAGCAAATCATGTGATAAAGGTATCTCATTGGTATTTGTGCAGAAAAGAGAAGAGATGTGAGCTGGACAATGGTGTGATTAATGGATTTATTGCAAGAATATTAATATTGATATGGCTCAGTTCTTCCAGTGGTATGTGAATTCATTGGTCATTGGGCAAAGAGCTCTCATTTAAAGTACCAACTGTCACATTAATGTGTGTGTATGTGTGCATGTATATATATATATATATATATATATATATATATATAAACAGTTTTTAAAATGATGTGATTCTTAACACTTTTCTGTCCTCCCCTCCTCCCATCATTCTGCCATCATCACTGTAGCAGGGAAAAGAAAGCACACAGAACAAGGGATCTTTTTTGGTTTCTATTTGTTTCGTGGGCTGCCCTTCTTAAAAAATTCATCCCCTAGTGCCCAGCATAATGGTGATGATGAGGTACATCTCTGTCATAGCCTTCAATAATTCAGGCTCCCTTCAATGCCACCATGAAATACAAGAGTATATTTTGGTGGAGAGTGTAAGTATTGTTTTCTACTAGATATTACATGTTATTTTCCATTCAAGATACCTCATTTTAAGAACAGCCTATACTTGGACTGACAGGGGATAGGGAGGTCAATGGAAAAAGAGGATTCTACATGTGAAATTTAGTTTTGTTGACATAGAATCACAGATTTCCTAGAGGCCACTTAGTCTAGTCCATGTTGGTTTACTTTCAGAAGCTTCCTGTTTCTGAATGTTTCCGTTCACATATTGTTGCCGCTTGATGTAGTAGCCTATGGCTCTCATATTGGACAGAACCTATCCTGTTGGACCTGCCTCTGACTCGCTGTGTTGATTCTAGTAGTCAGACCTAATAATGACAAGTTGTTCTTCTTTAAGATGGTGGTTCCTGGCCTCAAAGATGGCTCCTTCTCTCTGGTTATGAATTTGTGCTCAGATGTGGATTTCTCTCTGGTGCATGACATCCCCTTATGCCTACCCTCTTGTACTAGCCTTCTAATTGGTCTTCCTGCCTCAAGAGTAGAGGGTAGGGAGCTCCAGGAGGGAGCTGCCAGAGCTGGCAAAGTGATTTTCTAAATAGCCAACCTGACCACGGCCCCTACTCAATAAACTCCAGTGTCTGTTTCTTACCTCTATAATCAAATATAAAATCCTCTGCTTGACTTTTTAAGCCCTTCATAACCTTGACCCTTCCTACCTGTACAGTCTTCTTGTACTTTAATCCCACTGATGTTGTACAGTGGCACTGGCATCTTTACTATTCCTTGAAAACAACTATTCATCTCCTGATTCCATGCCTCTTTAATGGCTATCCCCCATACCTGGAATGCTTTCCCTCCTCTCCAAGCAGCTAGTGGCCCTGGGCCTGGAGTCAGGAATTCCTGAGCTCAAATCAGGCCTCAGATCCTAGCAGTGTAACCCTGGACAACTCACTTG